CCTGGCCCTCAAACTAGAGCCAAAAGGCTAAAAAGGACCACTGAAAGAAACACACTTTGGCCCTGGAAACCAATCCTTATGCAGGAGCTCTAGCCAATCTGAGCTCAGCATTGAACTCTGACCAATCCCCCACTCTGGAAGCCCTATATAAAACCCTGTGTCTGTTCGTGCCACCCGGCTGTCCTCTGCCACACTGGCAGAGGGCAGTCACTCTCCTGGATTCCACACTGGCAGAGGGCAGTCACTCTCCTGGATTCTTCCCTCCCAATAAACCCCTTGGATGAGCTTTGGGTGAAGACCTTCTTTTGAGGCAGAGCAGAGACGACCCTGGGGGTGAGTAGAGCGAGCAGGGCTGTGACACTTTTGCTGGGGAATCCTTCCCCTGGCAGAGCAGAGTTGTTACACTCTGCTCCACTCTCCCAGGAGCAGAGCTGAACTGTAGCAACTTCGCCTGGGAAACCTTCTTCTGCCAGAACAAAACTGCTACACTGGGCAAACATCCCCAGCGGGAAGACCCTCTCCTGCCGGAGCAGAGCAGATATACTGGGGAAGCCTTTCCCGGAGGCAGGGCTATAAGCTGCTATGCTTACTGCCACCTATGGTAGTCCTTGGCTCCGGAGCTCCAGGATAGCTTTCCATCTGAGCTGTGTAACACTAAGTATTCTGTGACTCCCGAGTGCCAGAATACCTGTCCAGTCCTATCCAGTCCAAAATGCTTACACTGTTTACTCTGCATCTCTTGGCATCTCTCTCTTCTTCCCAGCATCTCCTCTGCCTGGAAATCCTGCCTAGCCATTGGCTGTTCAGCTTTTTAGCAACCAATCAGAGTGACACTTCTTCACAGTGTACAGAAAGATAATTCCACAACAGACACAGATGAGCCACACATGTACCTCTCAGAGCCACTGAACGCGTGGCAAGGAGCATTGCTACTCTTGGAAACACATTACAGACACCGTTAGAAAACTGAGAACCGACACATTATGGTCAGGCAATAGGTGCTTCCCAGAAATAACCAAAGGCAGATCTAGGAAAGCATCATCACAGCACACTCTATTTATCCAGCTCCTGGGGTATTTAAACTGTAAATTAAACTGAAAGTGTTTAGAGTGGCCAACAAGATCCCAGCCTGAAGTATGCCAGCAAAGCATCTACTGTTTGAAGTCCTGGATGTGTGGCTCAGGCTGCTCTGGGACTTTTGACCTTTGGGGACTTGTCTTAGGTTGTGGACTGGATGTTTTGGTTTGGTTCCCTGCAAATTCCTATGCTGAAATCTTAACTCCTAAATCGTAGGATATTATTTTAAGCTGTGTTACATTTCTTCCCACTGCTTTTGTTTACAATGCAAAAAAAAAAAAACACATGTTTTCCATTTGTTTGGTTAAATAAGATTAACCTGTGGTCAGGAGGTGGAGTCAGCAACTAGCTGACAGGAAGTGGTAGGGATGAATCTGGTGTCAGGGGTGTGTTCTCAAGTGGGAGCTGGGGCAGTAGGTCTCCTGGGCTTTTCCGGGAAACAGAAGCAAGGAGAGAAGGTTAGCTACTAACAGCCCAGCCTCTCTGAGCTAGCAGGATTTCACCTCAACCTTTGAATCTTGAGTTCTACAGAGGGGTGGAGATCTAGATAAAGCTCCCCTTTGTAGCTTTGAGAGGGGACCCCCCCACCCCTGTGGCCTGAACCAGCATCCAGAGTTGCAGTCGCTGACTAGGACAGCAGTTACTTAAGGGGCAGCCACTGAATTGAGTGAAAACAGCACCTAATTGGTGGTCTTAGGAAGTGAAGCCTTGGGAGGTCATGAGGCCTGGAGGGCGGAGGTCTGAGCAAATGGAATTAACATCATCATCGTTAGAGAGATGCCAGAGATTTTCCTTCTTTTATTTTTTTTATTTTTGTTTTGTTTTAACATCCCAACCAGTTTTCCCTCCCCACCCCCTCCCCACTCCACTCCTTCTGAAACAGGTGGGCCTCCCAGAGGGCCTAGGTCAGTCCCATGCAGGAACCCTGGTTGTTCATTTAGTATCTGTGAGGCCCTTTTGAATTTTTTCACTTACATCATACCCCCCCACCACAGCTTCCCCTCCCTTCCCCCTCCCACTTCCCCTCTGCCCCCCTCCCCAATCCAACCCTGTTCGGAAAGGGGCGGGCCTCCCATGGGTGCCAACACAGCATGGCATATCAAGTTGAAGGTAGGACTAAACTCTTTTCCTTGTATTAAGGCTGGACAAGGGGATCCAGCATTAGGAACAAGCTCCCCAAAGCCAGCCAAAGCTTTAGGGACAGGCCCCACTCCCACTGCCAGGAGTCTGCCATGCAGACAGGCAGAGGGCCGAGGCAGGTCCCAAGCAGGCTCCCTAGTGGTCACTTCATAGTCTGTGAGCTCCCATGAGCAGGCCAGCTGCTTCTGTGGGTTCCCTCGCAATGGTCTTAATCCCTCTAGCTCACAGAATCCTTCCTCCCTCTCCTCGACAGGATTCCTCCGGCTTGGCACAGGGCTTGGCTATGGATCTCTGCATGTTTCCATCTGTTCCTAGATGAAGGCTCTCTGATGACAACTGGGATCGTCACAGTCTGATTACGGAAGATGGCCTGTTCAGGCTACCTATCCACTATTGCTAGGAGTCTTAGCTGGGGGGGCTGGGGAGATGGCTCAGGGGTTAAGAGTGCTGCTCGCTCTTTCCAGAGGCCCCGAGTTCAATTCCCAGCAACTGCATGGTGGTTCACAACCATCTGTAATGAGAGCTGGTGCCTTCTTCTGGCCTGCAGTCAGAACATTGCATATATATAGTAAATAAATAAATCTTTTAAAAAAATCCTAGCTGGGGTTATCCTTGTAGATTTCCGGGAATTGTTGAGACACTGTGGAGCCCTGGCTGTCTTGGAACTTGCTATACAGACCAGGTTGGCTTCAAACTCAGAGATCTGCCTGCCCCTGCCAAGGGGTGGGATTAAAGGTGTGTAGGCACCACTACTGCCAGGCTGAGACCCCAGCGATTTTTCCTAAGGCTTCCTTAGGAAAACATATGAAGATTTGTTGAGAAGTTGGAAATCTACAAGCCCAGGAGAGCCCTCATCAGAACCAGGCTTTGCTGACCTCTTGAGGAACGACTTCCAGCCTCTAGAACCAGAAGCCATTGCTCTCTGACACAGCAGCCCTCCTCAACAAGAGTCCTTCCTCAGTGTGTGGATTAGTTATGGAACTTTCCTGCTACCTGGTGGACAAACCCCTGTATGAGTATGAGTGCTTGTACTATAAAAGGGTTTGTCACTCCCACGAATACGCATGCGGTCATGACCTTAAAAATGAAAGACAGCCAGGTGGTGGCATGTGTCTATAATCAGTGCTTTGGAGTCCGAGTCAGGCAGATCAAAAGACTGAGGCCAGCGCGACTGTATCATGAACTCTATATAGTGACTTCCAGGTCAGGCTTGGGCTATATGGAATGAGTGTCTGATTTAAAAATGCTAGCACACGGGAGGTAGAGGTAGGGAAATCAGGAGTTCAAGGCCAGTTCCAGCTTCGTAAAGAACTTGACACCAACTATGACTGGGCTGTGGTTGCCTCAAACAAATGAGGGGAACTGTTGAAAGGGAAAGGGGGACCAGGCTCCTCCAGAGGGCAAACTGGAGCACAGGAGGGGTGTGATACAGTCCAGACTCTCTGGTGCTGGTTTTGAAGAAGGACACCACATGACAAGGGGGGCAGACAGCCCCTAGGGTTGTGCCTTGCCTTGTCTGTTAGCAAGGAAGGGGGCTTCCTCAGACTGAATTTATCCAACACTGACCGTGGAAGCCATTCTTCCTCAGAGCCTGCAGCAGAAGCACAACGTGGCTGAAATGCAATTTAACCTGTGAGACCCGGAGTAGATACTACCCAACTGGCCTGACCCTAAATGAGCATCGTGCGCCAGCCTTATCATTGCAAACCAAGAGCCACCACACATCTTTAGCAAAGAACTTCAAATCATCTCTCCCAGCAAGGTACCAGCAATCAACAGTTGCGATCTCTTTTTTAGAAATAAACCCAGGCCACACACCAGCACCGCCTCCATCAGACAGGAGTGCCACCTAGCCAGACTGACCCCTTTGCTTCTGGGGAAAAAAAAAAAAAAAAAAAAAAAAAAAAAACAGCGGCAATGACTTTTGTTAAGGTGGCTCTGATCACAGGCTCCCAGAAACGCCTCTCCCAAGCAAAGCTGTCCTCCAAACCCCATGTGATGGGGCACAGCTTCCCTCTACAAAGTGTTTTATAAAGATCTACAAACATTCTCTCTCAGGGCATCTGACCAGGTACTTCCTGACCTCACAGTGACTCTGGCACCTGCAACTCCACAGAAAACCCCCCTTTTGTGATGCCCAGTTTGCAAGGCAAGCTCTGGTTCCTTGTTTGATATTGGGTGGAAAACCACATGGTTCCTACACTGGCCAAATGTATCTATGAGCAGGCGGTGTCATCTCTTTAAAAAACCTCCCCAGTCCATGAGACTCCCCGGCTCCACCGGCTCTTGGTACTTCCTGGATTACCCAGGTAGGCCCTAGGAGCGCACGCCTTTGCTTGCTGAACTCTGCCCACCGGGCTCCAGCCTCTGGATGTCCATTTATCTGGTGGCTAGCTGGCTGGCTATCCTCTGTACCCTCTGTATACCGGGCGGGGGATCACCAATGTATAGTTCCTTTCCTGGGAAACCAGATCTCCATGCTGACCCCAGAAACAATCCTACCCAGGCTTCCAAAGGTGGCTTCGGAGAATGGAAACCACCTGAACTTTCCTTCCGTGCCCTGGTTGGCCTCACGGGAGGCAGGAGGAAGCTCGCTCAAAGCCGGCGGCCCCCAGCGCGGGCTGGCGAGCCACTGGGCGGCGCCTCTCGTCGTGGTCACGGCGGGGACGCCAGGGCACTGGGCTTTTTGTGACAAGAGCATCGGGTGACAGACGGGGCTGACTATCCGGCGGCCGGGGCGAAGCGGGCGCGGTGCGCTGCGGGCCGCGGCAGACAGGGGGCGGCCGCGCCCACTTCCTCCGCCGCTCCCGCACCCGCACCCGGCCAGCCGGCGGTGGCGCACCCGGGTGGCAGTGCTGCGCGCCCAGACCTCCCCGGCGGCTGCGGCGGCGAGGCGGCCCTCGGCGCGCTCGGATAACCCCACCGCGCGCGCCTTGCGACCCGGCGGCCGGCGGAGCGTTCGGCTGCCCGCATGGACGCGGCGCTGAAGCGGAGCCGCTCCGAGGAGCCGGCGGAGCTCCCGCCGCCCGCCCGGGAGGTGGACGAGAAAGAGGAGGAGGAGGAAGAGAGGATGGAGCAGGGCCTGGAGGAGGAGGAGGAGGAGGTGGACCCCCGGATCCAGGTAGGGCGCGTGAGAGATGCCCACGGGCCCCACCTCCCCGGGACTGCCGCGGGGAGTCGGCGTCTAAGCGGACACCCGCTTTGCATCCCCGCGTGGAGGCCGCTGAGGTCCAGGAGCGGCACCGAGGCTTGGGAATACCCCCCCCCCCCGGTTTCACGGTCTCCCCGCGGGAGGTGGCAGTGCCTGCGTGGACGCGGCCTGATTATTTTCGGGGATCCCTGCACACCCGCGGCCCAACCCCGAGGGGTCCTCGCAACACACCCCGCGGTTCAGGGCGGATTGCAACAAAGGGAAAAAGGGGGCGGGGGCCGAGCGGAGTCGGGGTACCTTTGGCGCGGGCTCTCGGTGCCCTGAGCATTGCGCAGCCTCCGGGTTTCGGAGCAGCGTTACCCGGGCCGCGTGGACGCGGACACCGCGGTGGGCGAGTGGGGCCCGGTGGTTGCCGCCTGCCTCTGTGGCGGCGTGGGCTGCACCGGTGCCCGGCGCCGCGCGAGCCCTCACCTGGCGGAGGTGCCTGCCCGGCCTCAAGCTGCCTTGCTCCTTTGGTTCATCGTCAACACACAGAGGGCTTCGTTTGTCAACGTGTTGCACTTGGCCTGGAACTGTTTAAAACCTTGCTTTTCCTTGAGGTCGGGTGTGAACATCAACTAGGGACAGCTGATAGGCAAAGCAGACGCGTGGAGGCAGAGAAGGGAATGGCTTGGCTTTCTGTGCCTCCATTTGCAGAAGAGACGGTTTAAAAACAATTTCCAGGCGAGATCCAGGAGTGACAGCCTAACCTCTTCACCCTCCGAAGCCCAGCAAATTCCATTCCATGACCCATTTTTTTTATTCCCTTTTCATATATATATGAATATATATATATGAATATATATAGCTATTAAGCATGTTCTGCGATTTCTGGATCGGTAATTGGCTTTAAGTGCACAGGGGAAAAAAGGCTTGTTTTTTAATTCAGTGGTTACATTTTAAATTGCTTGTTTAGTCAAATTAACACATTAAAGATCAGTGGGAAAACCTTCTCCTTAGCTACTCTGTTAATTCAGACCATGGGTTTGGACCAGGGAATCTTGTGGTTTTGGCGTGTGTTAGCAAGACCGTTTTTTTACAAAGTAGAGACGAGTTAGTTAACTTCATGTTGGCTACTTCTCACAAAACGTCAGGTTGTAAATGTTTAAAAAGAGCAGGATTAAAGCTAGTTAACCAACAACATCCCCCTGCCAGGTAGGGTGAATAATGGGCAGTTAGGGGGGAAAATTCATATCTTTATTCGGAAAGAAAGACCCACTGATTGAGTTAATGCTAGAAGTCTGTCCTTGGCTTGCCTGGCTCATTGGGGTTGTGATTTGGGTTGGCCTGCAAGGTTGTTCTTTAAAGCCGAGGGTGCTGTTTTGACTGGGAACTTGCTGTTTGCAACAGCTGAGTCCACCTGGGGGAGAGGGGGATGACCTTTCAGGGAAAGAGGAGGACACTGTGTCAGGAGGTTTTAGAGATACTCTAGAAACAAAAGGCTATCCTTCAAATCTCTCTCTCTTTCCATCAGGGAGAACTGGAGAAGTTAAACCAATCCACGGATGACATCAACAGACAGGAGACTGAACTTGAGGTACGAAGAGCTGGGCGGCTGTTCTTGGGTGAAACAGTGTCAGTCACCTTTGACACTGGGCTGGTGAATTTTGTTTTAAGAGCCTGAGGCCGACTGCAGGAGGCCCCATGCTAGAATGCTGAGCACCAGCGTGTGTGCCTGACAGTAAAACACACCCGACTCCAGGCTGTGGGCGGATGCATGTGGATCCAATTTCATGTGTTGTTTTTCATTATGGGGATTCCATTGGGGCTGCAATCAAGGACTGAGCAGAGTATTAAGCAGTGCTTACGCCCCAAACATCCCCGTATCTGGAAAAGCCAGAGGAGTTGCGATTTAGCCGAAGTCCTTAATGGAGAAGAATGAGTGAGCTCACATCTTTTCTCTGCTTTACTTAAGGTGGCCTCTCCCGTCCAAGCTTGGAACCTTTAAGGCTTGCTCAGACTTAAGACAGATAGTTTATCTCCCCATAATAATATTATGCCCCTCTTTCCACTTCCCAGCCCATTTCTTTATTGTCTGCTTGTGTAGAATATAATTACCTTAATGGTAGCAAAAAGCTGTTTGGACTGGGAAGGGCTTTCCTGCTGGGGGAAATCTTGGGAGATAAGATCTTGAATTTGAGGATTTTCCAGCTTTCCTGTCAACAAGTTTGGGTTCTTTGTTTCTAGTAGGGGTTGGGGTTAGTGGCCAAAGTGAGGAGGGCCTGCTGTTGTGAGATCCGGATTTCTACAGCAGAAATAACAAGCAAACAAGCAGTGCCTAAGAAGGCAGAGAACACCAGGCCCCTCAGAGCGAGGGTGCGGGGGATGAGAAGAGTACTTTGCTGGAATTTACTGGCAGCCTGCTTTCTGATAGCACAGCCTTGGAGATAGCACAAACGCGGCAGGCTGTGTGTGCTAAAGTGGTTCTGGGGCTGTGTGAAGGCTGATCCATCACCAATTCCCATCTGATCTACCGGAAGGAATGGGCGAACTTTGTGAAGCTGGGGCCGTTGAACTCTCAGAATCTCGGATTTCTAAAGCATTAAACAAACAAGCAAAAATAACTTCGCCATTTATTTTTAAAGAGCAAGAGCACAAATCAAAGGTTTTCCCTGAGCTTTCTTTTGGTCCCATTACAACAGCCCAGAGCTAGGCAGTTGGCAATGGGAGCCAAAACAAGAACAAAAACATTCTCAAGTAGACTTGGCTGACGTCAACGTTCAGGATGTACTGGAGGATGGCTTTGAACTCTGGATCGCTCATCCCTAGGTCCTGGGGTTACAGGCCTGTACCGCTATGCCCAGACACCCTGAACCTTCAATTTCTGCATCCCAGATGTACATAGGCAAGTTAGAGATTAATTTTGTTTTTTGTTTTGAGGGAAAGTTTTGGCTTGTTGATGTTTGCAGCATCGGAATGAATCTCAGGGCCTTATGCTGGACAAGCATTCTACTACCGATGGACTCATGAGACCAGGGATGAACAGAGAGGAGGAACAGCTGGCTAGGCATGGCTTGCATTCCTGCAATTCCAGCACCTGCGAGGCAGAGGCAAGGAGCACCAGGAATTGAAGGTCACATAGCTATAAGCAAGTTTGAGGCACATGACTGTCTCGGGAAGGGAAGGGAGGAAGGAAGGAAGGAAGGGAAAGAAAGGGAGTAGGGAGAGAGAGACAGACAGACACGGACCGACCATTGAGACAGAGGCAGAAAGCTAGGGATGGCAAGAGGGTGGTCTGGCTTTCTGTTTCAGTTTCCAAGAGAGATGATAATAGCCTCGTTTGTCTGTCCCTTATGCTTGCTCAACCACTGCTGGTCACCATTCTTGGTAATGAACAAGACAGTCCCATAGCCCCATAGCTCATTCTCCATGGCATCTGCCTAATGAGGGTTAAGGTTGGTATCACGTGTTGAACTCTTTCTAGTCCTCAATCCCGAATTCCACAGATTTGGTGTGTGTCACAGGAAGCCACTGGGCAGGTGTTTCCTGCCAGACTGTGGGGCCCATTTGGAGCCCTGGTGTATTCGGGACAGAGCTTACAGAACGGATCTCTTTCTATGTAGAAAGGGTGTTTACTCGAATGGTTTACAGGCTGTGTGGCCCAGCTGCTCCAGCAATGGCCGTCTAACCGTGGAAAGTCCAAGCATCAAGTAGTTGCTCAGTCCACATTGCTGGTCTTTGGCATCTGCCAGAATCCTAAGAAGTTGGCTCAAATGCCAGTAAAGGGATGGACCTGCCAGCGATTGAGAGTGAGCAGGCAGAAAGCTCCCTTCTTCCATGTCCTTTTACACAGGCTGCCGGCAGAAGGCGTGGCCCATATTAAATAAAGGTGGATGGACTTTCCCACCTCAAAATGCCCAGGATTAAAAGTGAGTCTTCCACTTTACATGACTTAATTTAGAAAAAAAATCCCCTCAACAGGTGTACCCAGCTTGGCTTTTAGTGACTTACAGACGTAGTCAGTTGACAACCAGGAATTCACGCCAGAGTGCTGTGAGCTGTGGGGTGTGACAGGGTAGCCTGGCTGGGTTGTGTTTCTGGGTGGCCTTCTTCTGGTATAGTTACAACCAGGACCAACTCCAGAAGTGTTAGACGAGCCACAGAGGCAATGTAAAAACTCCCTAGTTGCTGCATTAAAAATTACGAAAGACTGACCTGGCAGTGGTGGCCCACGCCTTTAGTCCCAGCGCTTGGGGGGCAGAGGTAGGTGGATCTCTGAGTTCGAGGCCAGCCTGGCTTACAGAGGGAGTTCCAGGACAGCCAGGCCTACACAGAGAAACCCTGTCTCGAAAAGCAGCAACAATTACAAAAGACACAGGGGAAATTAATTCAACAGGAAGTCACTAATAACAATGATTAACTTGGGAGGGTTGGCAGTGTGGCTCAGAAGACCGATACTGCCTGACATGCCCAAGGCCCTGTGCTCAATCTTGGGGGGTGAGGGGGAGCCTGTATATGACCCTTTCATTGGTGGTGCTGTTGATGGAAGCTGGGACCCCAGACAATCTAGGAAGCCCTCTTCTCCCAAGCTGTAACTCCAGCAACCACAGACGTTTTGTGTGCCACATCTCCAGAATTGGTGCAGAGCTTTGGCTCTGAGCGCGTTCCCTTCATAGCCCTACTGTGTTTGAGAACTCAGTGGCTGTGTGCAGTCCTGGCCTGGAAGTGTTTCCTGTCAAATTCCTGATCATCTTGCTCAAGTCTGGAGGTCAGAGCTGTGTTTGTGTGAAACCCTGGCCTCCAGCTTTTGTGTCAGGAACTGTGTGTGCATGGATGAACCATCCAAAGCCTTGCCCTCTGTGAGTTTCTGCTTTTTGTTGGGCCGAGGAATGGGGAGCTGGGTTAATGCCATGTTGCAGACTCCCAGGCAAGCATCCACGAACAAGGTCAGCACAAGGAACAAGCAGGCTGGGGTATATGTTAAACAGGCGTGGGTAGCCAAGCGTGCGTCTCTGAGATCCTAGCGTTTGGGAGGTACCCTCAGTTACATGGGTGAGTTTGAGGCCAGCCTGGGCTACATGAGACTCTGTATACAAAATCAAAATGTACTGCAGAGATTGAAACAGCAGGATTACTGTGAGTCCAAGAGCGGTGGGCTGTGGTATGAGACCCTGTCCCAAATCTTAAAAAATAGATACATTTTCAAAGGTCCGGTATTTGACTAGCAGTGAACAGGTTCAGCATGCACTAAGTTAGTGATCACAGCTGTGGCTGAGAGTGGGTTCCACATTAAGACGGCTCTCCAGCATGGTAGCTCATGCCGATAGTCCTAGTGCTTGGGAGACTGAATCAGGGTTTTAACATTGTCCCCAGCCTACTGATCCCAGTACTTGGGAGGTGGGGGGCCATAGGGTGGAAAGGGTCAGCCGTTCTGTCTCAACAAAAACAAAGATACCTATTCTGCCAGGCAGGGAACTACAGACTATAATCCCGGCCCCTACTTAGAGGGTGGAGGCAGGAAGATAGCAAGATCTACCTAGATTATAGGGAGAGTTCAAGGCTAGCCCAGCAACTGGCTGGGACCCTGATTCAGAGCATGTAAAGGGCTGGGGATGTGGCCCAGTGGTTAGATCGATTTCCTAGTGTGTGGTAGACCCTGGTTGCAATCCCTAGAACCCAGACCCCCATAAAAAACCAAATACACCTATCCAATATATATTACCAAATCACTGGCATTCAATAACTGATGCTCATTTATCTCCCATTTATTCCATGTCTTTCAACACATTAGGTATCACTGTGGTATTAAGGCATTTGTTGGCCACTGCCTTTGTGTGCGTGTGTGCGTGCTCATGCATGCCTGTGCATGTGTATGAGTGTGTGTGTGTACAAGCGTGCATGAGCGCATGTGTGCATGCCTGTGTGTGTGTGTGTGTGTGTGTGTGTGTGTTCTACTGTGTGCAGAGCTTCCCTTTAATCATCCATCACCTTAGCAAACAGCTTCCCTGCCTCAAGCCACAACTCCTATCCACAAGCTTTAATCTATGGGCGCCATTCTTTTCTGGCTGCCAGGAGAGTTCCCTCAGCAGTGTTTGTCAGACGTACGGTGTTCACCACTGAGGCGCCCAATGACTGTAGCTGATATCTGAATTCGCTACTAGCTTTCTATTACTGTGATACAATGTACAAGATAATCAACTTGCAAGAAGGGAGGAGCCCGCAGTTTCGGAAGTCTCAGTCAATTGGTTGACCTCAGCATGCCTGGAACTGTTGTGAAGTATATTGTGGTGGGAATGTGTGGTAGGGATTCGTTAGGCATTGTCTTAATGTAAAAAACAAAACAAAACAGGATGCCACAATTGACCCTAACTTTCTGGTGTCTCCAAAGTGCTAAAATTATAAGAGTATGCCACCACACCTACCTGGATAGAGTTACTATTTAAACAAACAAAAACCAAAAAACTTCTTTTTTTTAAGGGGGGGGGGAACAGGTCTTGCCATATAGCTCTGGCTGTCCTGGAACTCACTCTGTAGACCAAGCTAACCTCAAACACACAGAGATCCACCTGCTTCTGCCTCCTTGGTGCTAGGATTAAA